ACCTGAGCCAAAGGCAGACCCTTAACGACTGAGCCAACCAGACGTCCCATGTATAGCCATTTTAAAGATTGATTGATTGATTGATTGATTGATTGATTTTAGAGAGAGAGAGAGAGAGAGAGAGTGAATAGAAAACAATGTGGTACACTGAATGGTACATCCATACCATGAAATGCTACTTAGCAATAAAAGGAAACCTATTTGCTTATCCATTCACCTCTTTTTTTCTTTTTTTGAGAGAGAGAGAGAAGTGGGGGGCAGTGCAGAGGGCGAGGGAGAGAGAGGCAGGCTCCATGCCCAGTGTGGAGCTTGGCCTGGGGCTCTATCTCAGAACCCTGATATCATGACCTGAGCCAAAATCAAGAGTCTGATGCCCAACTGATTGAGTCACCCAGGCGCCCCTTCATTCACCTCTTGATGGACATTTGGATTGGGTCCAGTTTAGAGCTTTTAAGAATAAAATTGCTATAAATATTCAGGATCAAGTCCTTGCATAGGTATATGTTTTCATTTCCTTTGGATGAATACCAAAGAGTGGAACTGTTGGGTTGTGCTATAAATGTATGCTTAACTTTATTTTATTTTTTTAAAAGATTTTATTTATTTATTTGACAGAAAGCGAGAGAGCACAAGCAGAGGGAGTGGCAGAGGGAGAAGCAGGCTCCCCACTGAGCAAGAAGCCCAATGTGGGACTTGATCCCAGGACCCTGGGGTCATGACCTAAGCCAAAGGTAAATGCTTAACCAACTGAGCCACCCAGGCATCCGTGCTAACATGGTATTGACTAGGACTACTCTTCTGGCTACATTCAGCTGGGAGCTCCGCTGAGGCTGAAATGTTCAAGAAGGCCCCTTAACAGAAAGGTCCTTAACTGCACAGCATAACTGCACAATATAACTTTTGCCATAGGTCATTGGTCAAAACAAGTCACAAGGCAATCTGGATGAGAGAAGCAGCATGTGTTGCATAGGATTGAGAAGAACAGTTGACAGTCTTAAGATTCTGCACCCAATTTCAATGTATGGGAGTTTTCTCTCTAGTCCAAGCAATTCTCCGACCCCAGCTGGCTGTCCTACAATTTAACTCAATTCAGTTCTGACCCTGTCTACGTGGAAATAGCATCAGATCCCACAGCTTAAGTCCTCAGTCCCACAAAACTACTCCCACCCCAATTCAGAGGCCAACCACAAATCCAGGTTGTCACCTGTGCTTCTGACCAACAGTAAATCTGAATTTCCCATGACCCACTTCTCAGGTTCAATTAATTTGATAAAGTGGCTCACAAAACCCAGGGAAACATGTTTATCAGTTTATTAAGTAGTATGATGAAAGACACAGATGAAAAGCCAGATGAAGAGATACATAGGGCGAGGTATGGGAGGGTCCTGAGCACAGGAGCTTCTGTCTCCTTAGATTTGGGGTGTGTGGATGTGTTCACCAACCCTGGAAGCACTCTGAACCCCATATTATTGGGATTTTATGGAGGCTTCCTCATATACCAGTGATCAATTATTAACTCCATTTCTAGCCCCTCTCCCCTGGGGTGTGGGGTGTGAGGCTGAAAATTCCAAATTTCTAATCATGGCTTAGTCTTTCCCGTTACCAGCCTGCATCCAAAAGCCATCCGGGAGCCCACCTAGAGTAGCCTCATTAGAACAAAAGATTCTCCCAGGGCCCTTATCTCTTAGGAATTTACAAGGCTTTCAGGAGCTCTGTGCCAGGAATGAGTTAAAGACCAAATACATATTTTTTATTGTAAATCACAATATCATAGATTATTTCTCAGACCCCTCACGACTCTCTGGCTTTTGTTGATTATACTATTCAAGAAGTCACATAGGCTTGTATACAAAAATATCTTGGATTTATCTATCTCTTAAATCTAATCCAATTGTTTAACCATTTTTTCTATTAATAATTTCTGCAAAATAGCTATTATATTCTTTTCTTTCTATTATCTTAGCTTCCACTCTAGTTTGGATCATGGATCCCTCTAGTTATGAGCAAAAAATCAAATTGCATGGCAAAAATCTATAAACAGCATATAAACTTTTCTACTATAAGTAAAATAACACAATTTGACATATCTAATGATATTTGTAGTAGTTATTGTACCTAGATTGTGAATCATAAAAGGTAAGCAGCCGGGGCACCTGGGTGGCTCAGTCATTAAAGTGTCTGCCTTCACCTCAGGTCATGATCCCAGGGTCCTGGGATCGAACCCTGCATTGGGCTCCCTGCTCTGTGGGAAACCTGCTTCTCCCTCTCCTACTCACCCTGCTTGTGTTCCCTCTCTCGCTGTGTCTCTGTCAAATAAATGAATAAAATCTTAAAAAAAAAAAAAAGGTAAGCAGCCCAAGCAAGGAGGTATAATTTATCTTATACAATAAAAAATAAAATTGTAATATTTTCCTCATTTGTTGATTCTTCATCTCTCTCAGCAGTACCAATGTTTATGAATTTATTTATTTATTTAATTTATTTTTAAAATTAACATAAAATGTATTATTTGTTTCAGGGGTACAGGTCTGTGATTCAACAGTCTTATACACAATTCACAGCGCTCACCATAGCACATACCCTCCCCAATGTCAATCACCCAGCCACCCCATCCCTCCCACTCCCAACCACTCCAGCAACCCTCAGTTTGTTTCCTGAGATTAAGAATCTCTTATGGTTTGTCTCCCTCTCTGGTTTTGTCTTGTTTCATTTTTCCCTCTCTTCCCTTATGATCCTCTGCCTTGTTTCTTAAATTCTGCATAATCAGTGAGATCATATGATAATTATCTTTTTCTGATTGACTTATTTCACTTAGCATGATACCCTCTAGTTCCATCCATGTCATTGCAAATGGCAAGATTTCATTTTTTTTTGATGGCTATGATGAATTTTTTTATGATATAGCATTTCATCACTATTATCATTACACACACTTAAGGTGGGTCCTCCATATTACTTCCTGGTTGGTAGTGTTTTGGGAGGGCTTTTCCAGCTCTAATCATGGCCAGAATTTAGCTTTTCTGTGTCCTACCCTTGAATCTATCCTTTCTACCCCCTTCTGTGCCTTTTTTCCTGGAAATCTTGGTCTAATATATTAGTGTTCCACAAAAATTCACTCTACTCCCCTTCTGAGTTGGCATAGACTCTATTTCCCTGCCCTACTGACTTGGAGGTTGGCCATGTGACTTGCTTTAATCAACAGTATATGATGATGGAATAGGAAATTATATGAACACAGGCCTCTTGTCTTCTTGTGCTGTGGCAATTTGACCTGGGTAGCTGCTATACAAACACATGGAGCACATGTGAACCCAACCTTCGACCTAGAACTTGGAACCCAGAGACTAGAGATAAGAATCTTAAAAAAAAAAAAAAAAAAGTATCTTGCCTGGAATAGCCAAGGAGCAAGCAACCCACAGACCTGTAAAAGAAAATGAATGCTTTTTTTTATTTTAAAATATTTTATTTTTAAGTAATCTCTATACCAATGTGGGGCTCCAAAGGCCAAGAACAAGAGTCGCATGCTTTTCCGACTGAGCCAGCCAGGCACCCCTATTTATTTATTTTTGAATGCTTGTAGTTTTAAACCACTGAATTTGGAGTGGTGTATCCTGCAGAATTATTGCAGCAATAGCTGACTAAAACATTTGGGCAGTTACTCTCTTTTCCCCAGTCATAATCCAGGAGTCGTGGAACCAAAGGGCTTGAGGCTCCAGGACTTTTGTGCCTAGAACTTATATATTGGTGCTTTAGGGGTGAATACATAGCATCAATGCTGCAGGACTGGAGAGTTGGAGCACCAGGCTAAGGCACTGCATGGGGGAGGCGGGGAGATGGCATATAACAATGACACCCAGATGTCTGACATATGGAGACCTCGGGGCCAGGGAACACAAAAGATAGAGGCTGGGATTAAAGGGAATACCAGTTCTGAGCTCTTGTATAGTACATTTTCAGTAAACATGATTTTTTTTTCTTATTGAAACTATTAAGTGATTTTTCTCCCTTGAGGGCAGAGACCATGTCTATCTTAATTATATGTCCCTAGCACATATTGACTAGTTGGTAAACATAGGTAGAATCTTGAAAATCTTGAAAAACTGAAAAGAAAGCTAAGAGGTCAAATGTGACCTAAAATGGGCACAGAGAGTCCCAGAATACCCTATAATCCACCCCTTCTTATTTAAAATCACTAAGACCTACATCCTTTTAGCAACAGCATTAGGTCTAACTTAATATTAGGTACAAGCAAAAGACCCACTTAATAGAATGGAAAAAACGCAAGTCTTCTCCCCTCCTGTCTTTGAATTAATTGGATGCAAAACCTTTAATTACACAAGGAGAAATAAAAAGTCTAGATAAACACAGATATTACTTAGATGTTAAGAAGGTTCATTCAAAGTTGAAAAGGTCTGTTGCCAAACTAAAAGATGCATTTTACAGAAAAATCAGCTGTACAGAACATTTAAAAAAATTTTTAAGTTGGCTCCACACGCGGTTTGGGACTTGAACTCATGACCTTGAGATGGAGAGATCAAGAGTCGCATGCTCTACTGAGCCAGCCAGGCACCCCTATGCAAAATATTTTTGAAATGATTAGGAAATTGGGGCGCCTGAGTGGCTCAGTTGGTTAAGTGACTGCCTTCACTCGGGTCATGATCCCAGGGTCCTGGGATGGAGCCCCGCGTTGAGCCCCACATCAGGCTCCCTGCTTGGCAAAGGAGTCTGCTTCTCCCCCTCCCCCTACTTGTGCTCTCTCTCTCTCTCTCTCACTCTCTCTTTCGAATGGATAAATAAAATCTTTTAAAAAGAGAAATGATTAGGAAATTAAATATAGAAAGCCTATCAGATATTAGGGAATTATTGTTAATTTTCTTAAGAGTGATAACGTAATTATGTGAGAGAATGTCTTATTTCTTTGGATGTACATGCTGAAGTATCTAGGGGTGAAGTTTCATGATATCTGTAACTTACATTCAAATTGTTTAAAAATATTGTAGAGAGCAAGATGGAGTCACTCACGTCAAGCAGTGACTCATGTCAGCAGCCAAAGGCGTAGTAGCTAAGACCAGATATTGCTGAAACCAGCACAGATGCCCAAATGACGTCCAGAACTGATAACCAGCAGAACCAGAAGAGGCCTGCAAAGGCCCAAGACTGATTAAACTCCTTTGAGGACTTTCGCAGCAAACTGTCAGACTGCAGATACTGATCCTTTCACATCTCACCACATTGAAGAGACAACTGGTGCCAAAGGCTCTGCCTGATTGATCTCTGAACATAATAGAGATCCTCCACTGCTAGAACAAAATACACAGCACGCACTGAGAGCTGCCCTGGACTGGACTGAGGCCTCATCTCAACTGTGCTCATGGACTGACTTCATGTTTGTTATTAACTTCTCACCCTTTGTTGTATGACTTTGTGTTGTGCTTTGCTTTGTTTAATGTGTATAAAACCAAGTTAAATGTGTAACAAAATGTCATTGAGTTTGGAATCCTGAACCTGCTTTGTAATTATGTTAGCCTTGCTTTATGATTAATAAAACCAACATTGTGGAAAGACACAACTCATATCTGCGCATTCATAGTGTGCTTGTGACAAATGTATATATAGATATAAAATAAAGAGGGATAAAGCAAATGTTAACAATTTACAATTTTTTAAAAAGATTTTATTTATTCATTTGACAGAGAGAGAGAGCAAGCACAAGTAGAGAGAGCTTCAGGCAGAAGGAGAGGGAGGAGCAGGCTCCCTGCTGAGCAGGGAGCTCGATGCAGGGCTCCATCCCAGGACCCTGAGATCATGACCTGAGCTGAAGGCAGACGCTTAACCAACTGAGCCACCCAGGTGCCCCAACAATTAACAATTTTTGAATCTAGGTGGAGGGTATATAATATACTATTTTTAAAAACTTTTCTGTATGTTTGAAAATGTTCAAAATAAAATGGAAATAGAGGATAAAAGATGCAAGCTCATAAAATGGGAGAGAAGAGGAGAAGATATTTTAAAAAATGAGTGGAAATGAAAATGTTGTAGAGACAGAAATAAATTTTACCTAATTCACAACCTTGTGGTGAGCTAATTCCCTGTTTCCACCCTAGCTTAGGTTATGTGCTTTAGGTTTGCAACTTAAAAATATATTTCATCTAACTAAAACACATAAAAATAATTAAAATGCTTATGAAGTTTGTACATTAAGAAATGCTCAGGAAGGGACACCTGGGTGGCTCAGTTGGTTAAGTGTCTGGCTTTGGCTCAAGTCATGATCCCAGGGTCCTGGGATCGAGCCCCACATTGGGCTCCTTGCTCGGCGGGGAGCCTGCTTCTCCCTCTGCCTGCCATTCCCCCCGCTTGTGCTCTCTCTCTCTCTCTCTCTCTCTGACAAATAAATAAATAAAACCTTAAGAAAAAAAAAAAGAAATGCTCAAGGAAATCCACCCTCCCATATATCTGTTTATAAATTAAAACATGTAAAAAGTATTTTTTCTTACAAGAGCATGGAGGATATTGCCAGTTGCTAACTTACTAGGTAATATGGTTATATTTGGACATGTGGCTCCCAGTGAAAGACTATGTTTCCCAGCTTATGTTTTAGCTATAAGTGGCCACTGACTAAGTCCTAGTGAGCAGTAGTAACATATACCACTTTCAGAGCAGAACTTTAAAACATTGAGTGTGCAAAAAAATTTAAAAAAACAATAAAACACCGAGTATACACTTTTTCATGTTCTTCCCCTTTTTGTAAGTGAGAACACTGCCTAGGACTCAGCTTCAAGTGAAAGACACACCCAGGGGCAGGGGTTCTTAATCTTAGGTTCATGAACTTGGGTAGGAAAATATATCCTTGTCTTCATTAGCCTCTAGCTGAAATTAATATTTTCTTCAATTATGAATATAGACAATGAGTCACACTGTGGTATTAGTAATACCTATGAATTTGCCACTCAAAAAAATTTTTCATATCACATTACAATTTTTTCAGGTCTCTCTAAATATCATTTATGCTCAAGTGTACTTCAAAGTTATGGTTGTTGCTAGACCCATTGTTAGATTAGGTTGTTTAATGAATTAAGTATATTTATTATTATATAACTATTTAGAAAACTATTTTATAACTGTAATCCAGTATAATTTGGTTCCTTTAAATCCAAATGTATTTCATTTTATGTGTTAAAAATGTATTTTATGTATCATTTTGGGAGACAGTATATATGCTTGAAGAGAGTGCCAAAGGAATTTATGGCACAAAAATTGGTTAAAAACTCTTGCCCTAACTAGGAACTAATACAATATTGTATGCCAATTATTCTTCGATTAAAAAAAAAAAAACCTCTTGCCCTAGGCAATGGTGAAGACACTGGATGGAAAGTATAAGATCCATTTAATGACTGTCTAGAGCAGAATCAGCCAGAAAACTTGGCCCAGTTACCTCAGGATTGTTACATAAGAGAAAATAGGGGTGCCTGGGTGGCTCAGTCGGTTAAGTGTCCAACTCTTGATTTCAGCTCAGGTCACGATCTCAGGGTCATGGGAGCGAAACCCATGTCAGGCTTCTTGCTCATTGGGGAGTCTGCTTGAGATTATCTCTCTCCCTCTGTCCCTCCCCCAACCCCACTCCCTCCCTCTCTCTCTGTCTCTCTCAAATAAGTAAATCCTAAAAAAAAGAAAAGAAAAGAAAAGAAAAAAGCAAGGTCAAAATAAAGCCCAGAACCTGCTTCCATTGGTGGTGGTGGTGGTGGTGGTGGTGGTGGTATGGGTGTGTCTTATTGTACTTAAAAGCCAGCCCACAAATTTCATTAAAGTTAACAAATGACTCTTCTGAGCCAGTGTAACCTGGCTCCAGGACAGCACTGACTGTAACTAAAATAAAATACAAATCCACAATGGTGGCAAGAGATTTTTTCTTCCCGACACCAAATGCATGATGTCTTTCCTAATACAATTTCTCCAACTCTACAACATCAACTAAGTGTGCTATAATTCAATTCAATGTGGATACTACATACCCAGTATTAATGTCAATCTCCACAGATTTAAGTGCTCAGTCTCACAAAACTGACCTCACTTCAGATGCCAGTCACAAGTATCAGGTCCTAGGTTATCCACACTTCTGTCTGACGTGGCTACAAATTCAGGGGTTTCCTCAAGCCTACCCCCCCTCAGGTTCAACAAGTTGCAGAACCCAAGAAAATGCTTTACTTGCTATTACAGTTTATTATAAGGTATATCAATGAATAAAAAGAGCAAGGTCGAGAGGAGTCCTGAGCCTGTGGAGCTTGGGTGCACCACCCTCCTAGCACGTGAATGTATTCACCAGTTTGGAAACTCCCCAAACCTCATCATTTGCAGGGTTTTATGGAAGTTTCATTACATATGCATGATTATAGTCAAAGGTGATTAACTCAATCTTTAGCTCTTTTCTTCTCTCCAGTTGGTGAGGGGTGGGGCTGAAGGTTCCAAGCTTCTAATCAAGGTTTGGTCTTTCTGGTGTGTAAGTCCCATCTTGAAGCTACCTAAGCACTTGCCAAGACTCCCCTTTATCAGGACAAGAGACATTCCTATTGCCCTTACCACTCAGGAACTTCCAGAGGTTTTAGGAGCTCTGTGCCAGGAACTGGGGACAAAGACCAGATATCTTTCTTATTCCATAGGTAGAGAAGGAAAGCTCTTCTTTACAGTAAAAGTCTAATTAATAAATGTATAAAGAATGTTGCAAGTAGAAAATAACCACTTGGCAAACCCTATAGTAATAATTGTTTTAGACAAGTGTCATCAATGGATGTTAAAATTAGTAGGCAAATATATGCTGAGAAACAGGATATTTACATAGTCTTAAAGTATCTCCCCATAAGATACTTATTAATTACAAAGAGAAAAATCATTTTGTGGTGGAGAAACCTAGTGGACATTGTCTTAATCTAGCAACTAGAGATATAACCATTATGCTTTTCCTGATAGGATGCACTGAGATGGACAAAACATTGCTTATATCATATTCTTCTCAAAAATACATAATTTGATCATACTTGTTAGAATGGCTATTATCGGGGTGCATGGGTGGCTCAGTTGGTTAAGCGACTGCCTTCAGCTCAGGTCATGATCTCAGGGTTCTGGAATTGAGCCCCACATCAGGCTCCCTGGTCAGCGGGGAGTCTGCTTCTCCTGCTCCCTCTACCCCTCCCCTCCCCTATCCCCAGGTGCCCACAACTGGCAAAATTTAAGTATATCATATTAATTAATTAATAGTATTGTATTGATGTTAAGTTCTTGATTTTTATCATTGTATTGTGCCCATTTAAAATGTAAACACGGGCGCCTGGGTGGCTCAGATGGTTAAACATCTGCCTTTGGCTCAGGTCATGATCCCAGGGTCCTGGGATCGAGTCCCGCATCGGGCTCCCTGCTCCTTGGGAGGCTGCTTCTCCCTCTGCCTCTCTCTCTCTCTCTCTCTCTGACTCTTATGGATAACAAAATAAAACATTTTAATAAATAAAATAAAATAAAATAAAATGTAAACACTTGGGGGAAGCTATGTGAAAGGTATATAAGAATACTTTGTACTGGGGTGCCTGGGTGGCTCAGTCGTTAGGCATCTGCCTTCGGCTCACGTCATGATCCTGGGATCGAATCCAGCATTGGGCTCCCTGCTCGGCGAAACTGCTTCTCCCTCTCCCTCTGCTGCTCCCCCTGCTGTGCTCTCTCTCTCTCTCTCTCTCTCTCTCTCTGTCAAATAAATAAATAAAATCTTTTTTTTATTTGAGAGAGAGAATGAGAGAGAGAGAGCATGAGAGGGAAGAGGGTCAGAGGGAGAAGCAGACTCCCCGCTGAGCAGGGAGCCTGATGCGGGACTCGATCCCGGGACTCCAGGATCATGACCTGAGCTGAAGGCAGTCGCTTAACCAACTGAGCCACCCAGGCGCCCAATAAATAAAATCTTTTAAAAAAAGAATACTTTGTACTATTTTTTGCAACTATTTGCGAGTCTAAAATTATTTCAAAATAGAAATTCCTAAAATACAAATATATGCTGCTTATAAGAGACATCTCAAAAGCAAAGCAACATGATAAGGCTGAAAATAAAATGGTGAAAAAAATTAAACAAGGAAATATCAAGTAAAGAAAAATACTACACAAAAGATGGCTAATATAGAAATATTAACAGCAAATAAAAATGTAAGGCAAAAAATCAATACGGTTAAAAATGAATGCTGCACAATGAGAAAGGATCAACTCATTGAGTTACAATAATGATGAATTGGCATATTCCTAATAATATAGTTTCAAGGAAAAACTGTCAAATCTCTAATAACTCTACCAGAAACTCAAGAATCAGACTAATGATTTGAAAGAATATAGAATATTTGAGTAATACAATTGAGCACATTTTTAAATATACACACACATAACAATCAGAGAATATGTATATGTTTTAAGCACACATGGAATATTTACAAAAAGAATAATAAAGTATGCCAGGGCGCCTGGGTGGCTCAGATGGTTAAGCGTCTGCTTTCGGCTCAGGTCATGATCCCAGGGTACTGGGATCAAGTCCCGCATCGGGCT